AGAACACGGATGTCTGGGAGCAGTAAATAGATGCTTGCACCCTATACCGTTCAACCAGGTAGTGACTGCATCCGCAGCAAAATGTGAGCCATTATCAGTCACCAACACCAAGGGAACACCTTCTCGACTAAACACCTTTCTTAATGCTTGTATTGTGAAATCAGAATTTGGTGAAGTTGTGAAAAAAACTTCAGGCCACTTGGAAAAAGAATCAATGACTACCAGTGCGTAGTATTTACCAAGAAATGGTCCACAATAGTCAGCATGAATCCTCTGCCAGGCCTCAGACGATACTGGCCATGGCACCCACTTCGAAGGATGACTTTTCAACTGACGACATTTCTCACAATTGTTCGCCGTACGACATATATCTGCATTTATCTCTGGCCACCAACATGTGAGCCTTGCCAAGGACTTCATTTTCTCAACACCTAAATGACCCCTATGAAGATCTTCGAGAACAGATTTACGCAATGAAGGAGGAATGACAACACGATCATTTAAACACAGAATACCATCAGGAGTAGTAGATAGCTCATCTCGCTTTGAAAAATAGATGGGAAATCTCCGTTTCAAATTAGCATTCCAACCTTTCCTTATAGCACTGAGTATACATCCAAAATATCTACGAGTTTCTCTAATGAGATCTGAACGTCTCACTGGTAAAGGTTGCACTAACAAACAATCCGAAGTAATAATAGGTTTATCTTGTAATGACTGTCGAGAAATGTAATCAATATGTTGAATCTGTTTGGCACTTCTGTGCTGAACGGTATAGTCATATGCACTCAAAGCAATACTCCATCGCTGAACCATAGCTGCTGAGGAACGTGCTAAGGATTTTTCGGGATGATAAATAAACTTTAAAGCTTCATGATCAGTAACAATAGTAAATTTCTTTCCGAATAAATATTTATGAAGTCTTTTAACAGCCCAAAACACAGCTAATGCTTCTCGCTGAGTCTGTGAATAACCTTGTTCAGTAACAGTAAGTTTGCGTGAAACACAAATAACTGGTCTACCTTCCTGTTCCAAAACTGCACCAATTCCCACAGGTGATGCATCAGTAATATACACAGAATGTACATTAGGGGAGTACGTTCGAAGAACAGCATCACTTTGAAGAAACTTCAGCAGACTTCGTAAGCATGACTCTTGTTCCTCACTCCATTTGAATGAATTGGATGTTAAAATATTAAATAAACAATTTGCACGACAAGAAAAATTAGGAATAAAACGAGAATAGTATTGAAGAGCACCCACTAGTGAACGTAATTCTGTAAGATTTTTCGGAGACGGTGCATTAGTCAGTGGAGCTAGTCGTTTCATATCTGGTCTAAAACCATTACCATCAACTAGGTATCCAAGGCATTCAAAACTAGATACACAAAATGAACACTTATTTGGATTCACTGTTATATTCTTCTCAATTAAACGACGCAATAAAGCAATAAGTCTCTGGTCATGAACTACCTTATTAGAGCCATGAACAATGAGATCATCTTGATAAACTTCAACACCTTCAAGATCACTAACTACATTATTCATAACTTCCTGAAATATGGCTGGAGAACAACTTAGACCAAATGGAAGGAAATTGTATTTGAACAGACCAAAAGGAGTGTTAATTGTCGTCAAAATAGATGAAGATTCATCTAAAGGAATTTGAAGATAAGCATCTTTTAGGTCAACTTTCGAGAACACTTTAGAACCATGAAGTCGATTTAGAATATCTTCAGCTTCTACCGTCGTGCACGTTTGCTTCAACAAACGGGAATTCAGAGTTAATCTATAGTCACCACAAATTCTAGGGGTCTTGCCGTCCGACTTCAGTGGCGTAACGATAGGAGTACCCCATGCTGAAGACTGAATTGGTTCAATTATGCCTTTCACACACAAATCGTTTAATGTCTTATGTACTGCTTCTCGAAGACCATAAGGAATTATTCGTCTTTTAAGAAAGACGGGATCACCCTGTACTTGAAGTTTTATAGGCTTAATTTTCATACCTCCACTGCACTTAGCACACATAGCTATCAAATCTTTAAGTAAAGTATCAGAATTTTCTTTAGAAACTAAGAAGGACAACTCCACCTTAAGCCTTTTCAGATTCTTTAAACCCAATATTGACAGTCCTGTTTCGCTAACTAAAAATTCACAAGGTATGTATGAAGAATTATCATTTCTGATTAGCAATTCACAACATCCTCGTATGGGCAGTCTGTGTCCAATAATCCCCAGTATTGATACTTCAGTGGGTCGTACAACAACGTTAGGATCTAAAGCTTTCAAGTTCTTGAATGAAATAATGAACTCTATACTGCCTGTGTCCAGAATAAAGTCATGAAATGAACCAAGCGATGTATATAATCGCTTCTGAATATGAGCATTACCTTTCGAAATAGTGGACAAAGACAAATGATCACTAGAAACATCCGAATTATTGAAATTTAAATTACAAGATTTAGTACAGCTCGAAGCAAAATGGACAGTAGCTTTGCATACTGACTGAATGTGTCCTACCTTACCACATTTAAAACATTTAGCATTACGAAATACACATGAATTGCGAGCATGAAACTTTCCACATGATAAACATTTACCAAACTTCATCTCACCTTTGTGATTTGCTTTGTAATTCCTCGTTGAAACACCTTTCATATTTACACGAGAATAGGAATCACTGTTAAATGAACGCAAGTTTGATTGACCCTGAGATTGTAGTTCATCACGACGACTAAGCAAAGTATTAGAAATCTTCATCGACTGGATATCAAGTTCATTGACTGCTTCGTAGTTAATACATGCAGTTCTAGCATCTTGAAAGGAACAGTTTGGCATTCTTAACAGCTCTCTTTCCAAACTCGGTATGTTGATTCCTGCAATTAATCGATCTCTCAGTTGCACATGAAGTTGATCACCGAAATTACACTTGGTAGCTTGTTTCTGCAATTCAAGGATGAATTCCCGAACCTTTTGGTCATTTTGACGAACCATCTTATGAAACTTCGCCCTTTCACGGCATTCAAAACTGGTGCATTTTACATGACTTAACAATAGCTCTTTAAGAGTTGCATAAGGGAGTGAGATAGGTTTTTCTGGATATGCCAAAGTTTTTAATAAGCTGTACGCTTCTCTCCCAATGAATGTCAGAAAATGTGCCACAATTTTCTCACCTTTAACGTCTTTCTTGGTCATGCTCCAAATTTCGAACCTTTCCAAATAATCCTCAATAGCTTCAGGAGTTGAATGAATATCCAACTTTTCCATTGCAGGTTCCATCGCGACGCCAATATAGTATTCGAATTATCGTATGAATTAGGAATTCCAGGATTAACGCAATTGAATTAAGAAGACACAGGCACCAACGAATGTATTGTATTTAGAATTTGAAATCAAGCATTCAACCAGTACAAAGGTATCATTAGTCCATTCAAACACCACACAGTAGTACTCTTCCTAATATCTTTCTTCGTTATTATTGAAATTTCAAAATCACCCATGTGTTTTTAAAACCACAAAGGGTTATTTAACTATTTAACCACAATTGCCAGGTCCCACTGATGGAAAACTTCCATTAATATTAATTGAAAAAAAACATAATCTCAGTCCATGGTTTAACTGATAGTGGCGTCAAGAACATGTGAATTAACTGGAGCTTGAATGTATTATATCCTAGTGAAGATTAAATTACAGGTAACTTCCGAGGACTATTAATGGACTAATATTCTATAAATATTCTTATTGTACAATTATTCAATAATTATATTATGTATATTTATATTCCCCTTATTATAAGCTTCATTTTGATCTATAATCTGTTATTATAAGATTTAATTTTCCTGAATTATGCTCAGTTTACTAACTGCTGCTTTCCACGTTCACAGCCACTTTTTGGCTTTATTGTGTACACATGTTATTTTCTATTTTATGGTGCGCTGTGGTCTTTTTGTTTGATATATAAACGCAGTATGTTTGAAATATATGATTCGCATATTGGAAACTGGTATTTGGTGTTCTGGACTCAAGTGGACGGGCTAGGAGGACATAGGACCAACAAGGACGCTAGACTGCCCATACCGGTCGAACGTCATTGGTTTGACATAGTGCGAATATTGTATAAGTCGTATTTTGATTGTTGGATAAATCACGTGATAAAAGCTGGACATAAAGTCATAACAGATGGTTTCAAACTTCATTAGGCCAGATTAGGGGATTGTTTGTTCCCTGGTATCGGCGTCCAGGTAATTGAAGGGCATCTTTGATTACAGAAAGGTATGATTGTGTGTGCATTGTTTACCCTGCTCAAGACATATCTGTAGTTGATTTTTGTCTGACTATAAATATTGAGTCTCGCTTCATCAAAATGAGTTGGCTCACTCGCCTTCTCAGCTCCGCATTCTCGCTTCTTATTCTGAATACCTGTCTGGATAAACGAGTGCTTGAAATAAATCCATTCAATGCAACCAGTATTTGGTTTCATATTACCGCCGTCACACAAACGGCGTTAGCCTAGGTAACATACAGAGTTAAATGAAAGATTTATGTTCATGAGATATTCACTCGTTCTTTTAAGTCCGAGTAATATCTGGGGGCTACAAACGACAAACACATTAAAGTATACCAAACAATCATTGCTTTCGATACTAGCTATTCATTAACTCATTGTAATAATTGGTTTGTATACTTCCGATGAATAACTCATTCCATTCGAGATATATTCATAAAATACAAAAATCCAAATACATTAGATTCTTGACTTTTATAGCTCTAATAGTTGATTTTCTTTCAAGTTTGATCCCACCAGTCCTATATGATAATTAGAAGTATTCGAATTGATTTGCTGACTAATAATTTCCGAAATAATGCAACTTTAGGCAGGTAGATGAACACAACTGAACGTATTATAATTGTAATTCATAATAAGCACCCAATCAAGCGCAAAGAAATCATCACTTAGCACAGATATCACATCGTATTACAATCAAAGTATAACAACATTATTCAAGTGATATTTATTTCGATTGTTCATTGTTGTTAGTAATAAGTTTAAATAAAAATAAGACAAAATGAAAAATATCTGATAATTTATTGTAAAGACAACATTGTTTAGTGAATATTCCAGCGTATATTTTTCTGAATGTTCGAAACGACTGACGGTAAACGATTTAACTTCCTAGTAATAAAGTTTTCATATTCTTCAAATTCAGGAATGATGATCTGAAAAGGTACCTAAAATGATTAAATAAATGAAAGATCTCGGAAGTTAATCTGCTTTTGTTGCTGCATATTTTTAATACCTTTAGTTATAGTCCATCATTTATAAAATGCTTGAGAATATGTTTATGATGATGTATATATTGTTTTCACTGGCAAATTGAAATTTAATCATCTGAATACTGATAAAAATGTCTGTGTTGTTTATATAAGACAATCAATACTTTAAACGTTCGTGCTGGTTAGCTTTATATATTGTAGTGACTCACGTTTATCACGAGAACACGACTTGTTTAATAAAAACAATTATTATTATAACCAACTGTACCAGTGTTTGTTTTAACGTGCTTTTGTTTGACTGTGCTAATGACAGCTATTTTGTGCTTCCATTCTTATACTTACACACTTCGATTGTAACTTCGCGCGAATTCGGTTACCTTCTGTAACCAAGGTTGTATCCTGGCACGATCTCGGTATCCTTTCGATGCCACGAGATCGCCAGCTAAATATAACTCGACTTGGTCCATTAATTGCCTTCTGGTATTTGGCTTCTCGGGGATTTTATGGAGTCATTTGGAACGAGCTTCTTACGCCTTCTGATCTACTTGGCACGTGTTTCTTGGTAGCGGTGTTCACAGTTAATCTCAACTCGACGCCACGCTACAATATCATAAAACTTATTCATTTGTGCTCATGTTCTTCTTAGTTCTGTAGGTCTAATAGAATATGATTAGCACACTCAAGGAAATAAATATTTCATTAATTCCAAACAATAATAATAATCATTTTGTATGAAATCAACGGATTTAGTGCCTTTGACCTTACCAGAAGTTGACAAAATTCAATTCTGAAGTAACGTATCCTCATTACATACAACAGATCATGACTAAGGCATGAAAGAATAATCCACTACTTTCATATGCCTCTAAAAAATTTTATATGACATGCAAAAAGGTTCACAAAATAAACTGTAAGCAGATCATGGCTAGTTGAACTCACCAGAAATTGAACAAATAACTCCTTCAATCAAATGAATGACATTTTTAGTAATGGTATAATTAATTCCTGAAAAGTAATGACTACATTTCCCTACTCTGATGACTATTCATGTGATTTAGTATTGTTTAAAAATCTTTGCTTCAAAATAGTAAATAATGTATCTTTGGATCCTATTAAGATGAAGTTGTTCAAACAACTATTATGACATACTTCTCACTTTATAAAAATTCTGAAGTTCCATTTGTTCCATATAACGTTCAGTTAGGCTGATAACAATTAAACTAATCACTCAACATATTATTAACATACTATATATAGACGATATCACATATGTAGTGATCGTAGCTAAAATTAATTCACAAGTCACCTATAGAATTACGTTTTTACCATCTTTTAGAAATGGTATAAAAGTCTTTTTTTAAATAACCCTTTGGAAATTGTAGAAGTGACATTTCATCCATACAATGATAAATATTTGACTGTAGACACTTCAGTAATCAAGTATGAATAAATTGGTAAATCTTACTTTTGATTTATTGGATGAAACTCTAACATGATAAGATAGAATATATATATATATATATATAAACGAAACTGGATCATAAATTTGTGAATGGTTGAGGCTATGGTAATTCATCATTTCGAACATGATCTTTTTTGTACAGTAGCGATATATCCAATCACTTATTATTACCGTGATCCTAATCCCCCATCCCACCGTCATTTTTTTTGTTTTTAATAGGTATTTGTAGGGATTTTCGAACGTTTTGCGACCACAAACTAGCTTAAGTTAGAAAACCATGGGAAACACAGAAGCACTACACATCTGTTTCATTCTAGTATAGGACTTCTCAGAAAATTTCATCTTCTGTGTGAGGCAGGTACCCACCGAAGATAATAGAAAATGGTTTCTCAATGTTGCAAATCGCTTTAAGTTAGACCGGTAAACTACCGGGTGTCGAATTAGTAGCCTAAAAGTTAAGCTCCAACCAGACGACCTGAGATCCTTGGGTTCGATTTCTAGGATGCTCGTTTATGCGCACCCCTAAGGAGTCAAGTACTAGAATGAAATAGCTGTCTTGTGCTTCCACATTCTCAATGGTTTTCTACTTCAGGTTAGTTTGTGATTAAAGCGAGGCATTTAGTTAAACTAGTTGAATTTAAACTATGACAATGTAAAAGGAAAGAACATGTATACATGCTTATCAGACCATTTTATAATCAAAATGAGTTATTAAATGGGTTATTAAGTTGAATCTTTTCTGACCATAAAGATCAGATTTTTATTTCATGTTCCTATCGCTTTTTCAATCTAAAGGAGTCGAAGGAGTCACAAATTCAATACACTTGAAATGGGAGTTAGTTACAATACTGCGTATTTTATTCTAAGAATTACTTATTATGACATTAAAACAATGTATTTTTAATATGTAATCAGTGAAAAATTGAATTTCTAACATTCCGTAACTCATTGTAAGTCACTTCCTCAGACAAAATGATAAAGTTGTCTGGATTGAATTAAATATTTTGATTTGTCTCCCTGTACTAATTAATTTGTGTTGATTTAGTCTGATTATTTATTCATTCTCCAAATTAATGACTTGGAGAATCGGAGTATTACAAATATATTACTTTATTGTCGTGATACAATCCAATTGATAGGCAAGTTAGTCGAAATTACCAAGTATAACCTTGGTGAAGATGATGCCAACTAACCTTGTTCACTGAACAAATCAAAAACTTAGAAAATAAAGAACAAAAATGCAATTTACAATTTAGAATGAATGAAATGGATCAAAATTTAAAAAATAAAATGTTCAATGTTTTACATTTTTGAGCATTTTACCATCAAATACTCACAACTGACTACATATTGATAGACGAAGCATACACCGGTTGCTAACGTCGAATTGATGCCAACTTTAGTTTACTAGTCATTTTCCTGTGAACTTATATCTTTGATTATTGAGAGAAAAATAACATTTATTGCCACTATTTTTAATAGTTATCGATCTGAAATGAGTTTAAATATTTTACGTTTGTTTAAACGCTTAATTGATATAGTCTAAACATGCCAAGAGTGAAACAGTCATCATCAGTGATATCCAATGATCTTCGTACTGTATCATGAAGTTATAAAGGTCGAAAACGTGTACCATTTGGGAATAATCCATTGTTCTAATGATAAAACGTTCACCAAAATACCCGAAGCTGCTAGGTTTGCAACTTTATATGGTTGTGGATGTTCTCTAATGAATAGGCCCTTACTAAGAAAAAAGTATATATATTATCGCACGGTTCTCAATAATACCACAGGCGTAGTCAATTCTTGACGAATTCCATCTGCAGATATTATGTGTATGTGTTTGTTTAATGAATAGATAATAACAATTTACATTATCAGTTTATTATTTAACAAATTAAGAATGCGTAGTAAAGCATATTTGGCGGGTAAAAAGTAAAAAGCCTATGTACGTATATCAAGTTCATATGAGATAAAACGTGATCATAGAAATTGTTACATCTTGCAAAACACCGAAACAAACTTACTTACTTACGCCTGTTAACCGCCGTGGAGGAGCATAGGCCGTCCACCAGCACTCTCCATCCAACTCTGTCCTGGGCAATCCTTTCTAGTTGCTATTCATCCTTATCATGTCTGCTTCCAATTCCCGACTCAGTGTATTCCTTGATCTTCCTCCTTCCGTTCACCTTCATGATTCCAGGTAAGCACTTGCCACGTGGTGCAGTTTGGTGGTTTCCGCAATGTATATTATATTCACCTCCAGAGTCTTTTCCTAATTTTCTCTTCAGCTGGAAACTGGTTTGTTCTCTCATACGGTATGCTGTCGTTGATGTTATTCGGACAATGGATATTGAGTGCCTTGTCTAAACAACTGTTTATAAATACTTGTACCTTTTTGATGATGGTTATAGTAGTTCTCCACGCTTCAGCTCCGTACAGTAGGACTGTCTTGATGTTCATATTGAAGATTCTCACTATGATATTAATGTGTGAAACACTGAAACTACTACACATGTAGTTTAATGTCTTACAATGAATATATGTAATTTACTCCAGTATATGTTTACAGTTTAATTCAGTTCATACCATGCCACCAAGCTTTTTATTCATTGCTTTTGTTTCGATTGGTATTTTTTTGTGTTGCTAAGAGAAAAAACTCCGACCGAAACGAAAGCAATTTGTAGTAGTTTCAGTGTTTCACACAACATTTTAAACTGTGTTTATTCAATGAAAGAAGAAAAAATACACTTCATACTCACATCCATCACCAACTTCTATTTTATTGTATAAGAAAAAAAAGAGAGAGAATATGGTCAAAATAGTAACTTTATATCATTAAAAGTTATGCAACTAGTATTATATTTAGAAACAAACAGTATATACTAGAACAAGATGTCACTTATTGAATTAAGATTTAATTGTTAATTAGCTAGTATATCCTTTACACTAGTCTCAGAACAAAACTAACCAGTTGTTTACTATTTCATAATTTCTAATGGGTCACTCATTAAATAAGTAGAAATGTTTACAATTTGATCTAATCATAATTTATTTAATGAAATTGTTCTTGTACATATAAAATGCAACATTCAATTGAATAGTAGGTTCCATTAATTATATTCATAACTCTTAGTAATTTGAAACTGTTAGGATGTGCAGAAAAATATACCAATAATTATCATGTTAAGTCTAATGGTGGCCTTGGACTTTAAATGTACACTCCTTATTGATCGATACTTATTTCACTTGTTAAATATTGTGTAAATGTTGGGTTTTAATTATCCCTGTGGCATTTTTTTATTAAAAAAAAACCCCACCCTTTTTAAAAGAAATTTTTCAACCCCAAAATTACAATATTTTTCATACCGTTTCGTCCAATGAAAAGGCTATTTTCATAATTCGTTTCAATTGGTTAGTCATGTATTGTCAAATAGTTATAAAATATCAGTACTTGTCGACGAAGTACATTTTAATCATCATTATGGAGGAGAGTAACGTTCCGAGTACAAGCGCTGTTGTTTCTAACGTAACGGAAATGGAGGAAGTCTATTTGACTACATTGTTTCTCGTTGCGTTCCCATCGCTTGAAGCGTTGAAGTCCGCTATCACAAATTATGAAAGGTCGACTTACAGTCATTATATAGTTCGAGATTCGCATTTGAGCAGAGATGAAAACTCGTATATTAAATTTGTATGCTGGAGATATGGTCATATAACATCTAGCGGTAATTTGGTAAATTGTTTTATAATTTCTTTAACAAAGGGCTTCTATGAACACCCAATGTCCGGCCTTCATGTTTTGTAAGATTATAGACGGCTACTGGACTGTTGTATATGGGAATGTGCATCACAACCACGAGTGCAATTCCCTAAGGTACCAAGGTAATTCATGGGTGCGCAGGTTAACGGATGGGGAGTTTCAAATTGTGAGACCGCTGCTGATATCTGGTACCGCTGCATTCCATATAAAGAATTTTGCTTACCAATCTTTCGGGAAACGTCTGACAGATCAAGATGTCTGTAATATGCGGTACAAAGTGTTCTCACGTGCGAATCTTCCTGGTAAGCAATTTGCCAATTTATAATGTACAGCATAGGTGATTACGGAAAATTACAAGCTCACATAACATCCTTGGGCGGGCTTTGCGAATACGAACTAAACGATGATAACTGTCTATCGTATTTTTTCCTCATGACTGCTGAGCAAATGAATTTGACAGTTCGTTTCTGTGATGTTATTGGTTTTGACGGGACGTACAAGACGAATAACGAGAACGTCCATTTATATCAGGTCGTAGCCCTTGATATGAATTTTAAAGCAATACCCGTTTGCATTGCATTTTTAAGTCGCGAAACGTCGCCCTGATTTCTCGATTCCTCTTCTTTTTCCAACGGTCTACCAACAGTCGACAGGTGATAGGCATTGTGACCGATGATTCACCTGCAATAGCTGCTGCCATCACACAGGTCTATCCAAATGCCCACCATATTTCGTGTCGTGTACACCTTGTTCGCAATGTGATAATGAGGGTAAGTGTACCGTTCACTAACATTAACACATTAACCGTCAATGTAGAGGGTGCGATCAGAAATTATACAACTTTTTTTTGGCCTAATGTTCAGTCGAACAATCGAAAGGTAAATCAAAATGTGCATAATATTATTTTGTAGTTTTAACAATGTTAACAACGTTAATCGAAAATTCCGACGAAACATGTCGATAGACATTTATTGAGTCAGACGACGTAGGCTTGTTCATTTACACTTCATGAAAATAATATTTCAAATGCTTGTCAAAAATGGTTACATTCGTAGTGTCTAGATATTTCAGGTTTCATATTACGATTAACAATATTCACACATGACTGATTAAACACACTAGTTTTTATTACGACCGAAAAATGTATTTTAAAATACAGAACTACAAATAATTTACAAGTACAAACAATAAACCGTGTTTCAATGGACTTTTAAAATTAACCGTATTGAAATCTAACGTTTTCTAATTCTTATTTCGAAGGACCATTTACAAAACAATCATTTACTAAATATTCAGTGCATATTGCGGAAACATTATTAGTTCTTTAATATTGCGTAAATGTCGTCTCATTAACCCATAGTTTACGGTTCATTCGCCGTAATCAATAAATTATCATGATGATTTATTAATATCAGAATGTGTTTTGTGGAGATTTTTAGAAATTCTCACAGATTGAAATCATGAGTCAGTTGAAGCTAGACCACTATTGAAAACCTGGAAGCACTGGACGGCCGTTTCGTCCTGGTATGGGACTCCTCAGCAGTGCGCATCCACGAACCTGCACCACCCGGGGCTCGAACCCAGGACCTACTGGCTTCGCGCGCGAGCACTTAACCATTAGACCACTGAGCCGGCATCCAAATATTTGACTACCGACCTCATTCAGTAATCACTATTATCAAATATTCAAACCGATTTTCAGTTCCTTTTTCCCAAAACTTGCTTTTAATGTGATACATATAAGTATTCGTGGCAAGATAGCTAACGACTTCAATTGAAGGTTGACATTAAATCACTTAATCGGAAATCAAACATTTATCTCACTATACACATTCACTAACAGTAGGATTGAACTTAAGTTGGTGTTTTTTTTCTTAAAATGTCTAAATTTCTTACAAGACGAAAAGAATTATTCATTATCGTTAAATTTCAAATGTAAAAAATGAAAATTCTGACATCCAATCACAGCACTTGATGCTATTTCGATTTCAACTATTCAGATTACAAAAATGAACAGTTTACGACCAATTACAAAATTATTAAAGGTGACAAAATGTTTGTTCATTTTCACTTCACTACACACTAGCAAAACAAGTACGTCAATCAACGATCAATGAATTTTTTTCACACCCTACAATTTCTACGAAAAGGAGAGTACGAAATCTTAATTGCCGTAGGCTTAATGTCAACCCAAATGTTGTTTTCTGTTTTATGGTACGATGTGGTCTGGTTGGTTGGTATATAAACAGAGTATGTCTGAAATACAGTGATTCATATCTCAGAGGCTAAGACTGGTGTTCTGACTCAACTGGCTGGGCTAGACAGCGAAGCAGGGCCAATCGGGACTCTAGGCCGTCCGTACGTGTTTTCCGTGTCACTGTAATCGATTGATAAATACGCTGCTCCATCTAAACTGCAATCCACACGTTACAACAGAAACAACAGATATAAATAATTCACTTGGTATTATTTGGTTTGTATCTTCCCATTGAGGTTTAAGACTGCAATTGATCAGTCTGTCATCAGCATATGTACACACTGTGCGTATGCCTCGATATTGCCTTAATTCACAAGCTTTTTGTAAGCAATGGTGGATAGTGGCTAGCAGCGGAATCCAGGACGCGCATTTTGTCCTATTTGGGACTCCTCAGCTGGGTATACCTGCATCTCAGAGTTGATGTTCACTATGGGACTCGAACCCAGCGCCATCCGCTTCAAATGCCATCGCGTTATCCACTTAGCTACTGAGTCCTGATAGCCACTTGCTTGTGCAATGGGGTGAATTTCAATTCACTTGGTGTTATTCGACTTGTATCTTCCCATAGATACAAATAGTTTTATTGACTTTTGACAATTTCCTTGGTATCCAACCTAAGTGAAATACTTTTATTTGTATCAAAGGATAAGTATATTATACGATAGTTTACTTAGTATTCTCATTTATAGTTGTTAAACATAGTTTTATATTATACTTGAATAAATGTATCTTCAGATAATTAGTCATTTATATTGAAAAAATTGAGGTTAGTAATATTTAGGTTAAATATAATATCCTAGATAGAAATAGAGATAGATATTAACCTCTATTTAATTGACATAATATGCTAATAAGCATATTACGAGGTTATAAGTGAATATCAATCCTTGGAGCTATTCATCATTGATCTAAAATTTAAAAAGGTATAAACAGAAAATCTTTCAACAGTCTTAATTAGATTCACTATAGAATATTAGCACTTCTATATTAAACTGAAGGTCATCAACGTTTTAATGCAGTATATATTCGCTTACTTTTTAGGAATGACTCTTTAAAACAATCATATTTGAAAAAAAAAAACAGAACAATATATATTCCATATAAAAGAGATATCATTATATTAGAGTGAAGTATCCTGATATTGATCGATTATATGTGTTGTTCCAATTGACAATGTTAAGTTTCGTTTAATAATATTTAGTGGCCCTGAATCTGATTCCAATTGGATCGTATGAATGTTATTGAAATACATATGTCGGTTATCTTTGTATATAATCATCAACTTGATTCTCGTTAGGGAATAACGGAATTAAATAAATCAAATACGAAAATGGATCTTTGAATACATATATATCATCTACTCTCTTTGATCTGAACAGGCAATCAAACAGACGAAGCGAAGGAAGCAAATAGAAGAGAGTGAAGCGAAACGACGAGCAGTGGAGTAGGCGTGTGAGCCAACTCCATTTAATCAAGCGTTATTTATAGCCAGATAAAAATAAGTTATAGATATGTGATGAATAGGATAAAAACTGTACACACATACGTTCATATAAAAACAGTCAGGGTTGATAAGTGAATAATTAACAAGGTCAAAACGTGACTCAAGAAGGATGGATAAATTGGCCTGTCAAGTAGCTAGAATACGTTATGTAACCAACACTACAATATCCAAACTGACTTCATCAAACAAATACATAAATAAGAAATATTTCTGTTCAGTTTTACAGTGTACTTCAACTCTGTTTAAAAAAAGATATTTGTCAATGTGTTTCTTTTTTTTGGGGGGGGGGGGGTAATTGTTTATCTGAATATTTGACTGATCATGAAACTTGATGATACGTTCTTATAGTTTGATTTTCCAATAATGGACACTCAAAAATTCTGATTTATATATTCAGTAACCTATATACTATTACTTATTTCATTTTTGAAATCATTCTCTACAATTTCATGATGACTATGAACCAGGCAAAATTAGTTGCGTCTCCAGTTGGGCTAATAAATTAAAATGTTTATTCATTTGGTCAGAGGAAATATCGTCCCATTGGTTTTTACCAACTTTGAACTTACAAATAAAAACGCAAACAAGTAAATCAGTTCAATATTAATGAATTGAATACTGTCTGTGATATGTCATTTAAAAGTAGTCTCAATAACACAGTTACTAAATAAGGAGGCAGAACTATGAGGCAATCGATATTTAAATAACATTTGATTTGCGTTCAAACATCCACTTGTAAAATATTCCAGAAAGAAATGAATTGACTACAAATATCATCTGTAGTAAGTCCCGACTCAACTCGGAGTATGACACTTTATTCGTGAACTTACGTGGTCAGCCAGGTAGAGATTGGGCTTCACCCCATTTCATCGTTATATGGATTATCCGAAAGGGCCGTATTGTAAGGATAAATGTGAAATGCAGAACTGGATAAAGAGTTTTTCCTTCTGGTACATGTTATATGCGAGCGAAGATTAAATCGCGAGTAACTTCTGAGACATATTAATTGACTAATATTACCTATATATTCTTATGGTGTAACTATTCAATAATTAGATTATGTATATTTATATTCTCCTTATTAAAAGCTTCATTTTGACCTATAATCTGTTATTATAAGATTTAATTTCCCTGAATTATGCTCAGTTTACTAATTACTGCCTCCCACGTTCACAGCCACTTTTTGGCTTTATTGTGTACAGATATTATATCCTATTTTATGGTACGTTGTGGTCTTTTTGTTTGATATATAAACACAGTATGTTTGAAATAAATAATTCGATTCATATTGCAGAAGCTGGTATTGAATTCTGGACTCAAGCGAACGGGCTAGGCGGATAAATGGACCAATAAGGCCGCTAGACTGCTCATACCGGTTGAACGTCATTGGTTTGGCATAGCGTTAAGATTGTATAAGTCATATTTTGATTGTTGGATAAATCACGTGATAAAAGCCGGACATAAAATCATAACAGTACATGAGTGAATTATCTCTAGGAGGGTCCATTAGGTCTGACACAAACCAGAGCAATGGCTATAAAATGTTCTGTAACTAGTACATAGGGGCTGACACTAAAATTGTTTGTGGTATAGACGACCCATAACCCTAATGGTATAAAGGTAAGTAATGTATTCATTTACTACTACTGTTGGAGTCAACCAAACCATCCTTACCTGTGTGTATACTATGAAGTGTAAAGCCTCGGTCTATGCATTCTATGTATGCATGTAACGTATAATTGCTAGTGGAATCATCTATATTTGTTTACTTTAGAGCGCATAAGTGTCTGAGGTGTACATTCTCTGTATACATGTAACGCATACTTGCAATGTTTTCCACGTTCTGTACAGGTGTATTCACTTTAGCTTGTAGGGACCTACTTTTATGAAGAGAACGCGATTGGTATAGTGGAAGCAATTATTATTATAACCAATTGTACCAGTGATTGTTTTACTGTACCTGTTTGTTTAACTGTATTAAAACATTACCTTCTTCCGTTGCACGCATTCGTGTACGCTACGTATTCCCGCTTGTACTCTTTGGCACGATCTTGGTATTCGTTCGACATCACGAGATCGTCAACAAATATATTCTATTACGACCGTCAATTGCCTTTTGGTTTTTTGGTCTATGAAGGGATCAAACCTAATATCTGATAAGTAATCTTTCTGTAGTGGTGATCATAGTCGATCGCGACTCGACGCCTATTACAAGCTCTAAAAGCCTTTGGTTTATTACAAAGTTTTAGAATGAAATAGGAAGATGAAACTGTATGGAAGTAAACTGATAAGGTGTCCGTCTGCTGCACACAAAGTATAGCTGAATTGAATTGCCTACTTGCACAAAAATGACATCAAAGTAAACTGCTGAAATATCGGTTCGTTTTAGCATTTTCCTGTGCTCCAGTCTCTCACTTATTTACTAAAGATCTTTTATTTTCTTTCCTGATAACCCAACTGGCCTTCATACTTAGTTGGGTCAAGTTAAACAAACCAATATCGTATGAATTTTATTAAATTCGTTCAGAAAGATTCGATTCGGTCTGGTCATCTAAAAAATGTGTTTTTTAAGACAGGCCTGTGTGAAGGATGAGGTTTACGCATGGGATCAGCATCCCTATCCCGTAGAAAACAACATTGCTGAAAAACGCTTACCAGAACAAACAAATTAAACCAATTTAAACTCTGTCCTCTTAGAAGAAATATGACGCTTCATGGTAGAAGCCTAAATTCTTCGGAAATCACGAGGCCAATAACTCCTTTACCAACCTGAGCAATAATTAATGTAGGAACATGGAATGTCCGGACAATGTGAGAGACCGGGAAACCGGTAAAATAGATACGGAAATAAGGAGATACAACCTGGCAGTACAATGAATATGTGAAGCCCATTGGAATCAAGCTGTAGAGAAAAGATTAGATTCGGGAGAGATGCTACTGTACTTTTTTATGAACAAGAAAATGTTTTGCACACACGAGGAGTTGCACAGATACTGTTGAAAGAAGCACAAAAAACTTATAGAATGAGGATCTCATGAATTCGGGATCATCGAAGTGTCCTTCAAAGCTGCCATGACGGGCCGTGTCCAAAATCTGATACTGATACACGACATGCTGTGCGCTAACTTCACAACTGTCTACTTGAGCGAGAACACAATGGTGAAAGAGAAAGCATATTAGGCTACCAAATGAAATGCACAAATACTCATTTTTATATGAACAACTCTGCCTTTTAGGAAATGAACCCACCTCTTAACCAATGAAATGCACCAGTCCTTCAAATCACTCCTCAATGCCATCGATTGATCTTCTCATTAGGCTGATTCTGATTAGCTTATCACATCAAAAAAGAAGGGGAGGATCATAATGAATGTTTTCCAGTGCTATGCACCCACCAATGATGGCAACGACTACGATAACGACCAGTCTTATGAAGGGCCACAGTTGATCGTACACGAACAACCATGTAAGAACCTGACCATCCTGATGAGAGACAAACGTCAAAGTCGAAATGGATAGCACCGGGTATGAAGATATCATAAGACGATATAAACTGGGAGAAAGAAACGAAAATGGTGACAGATTCGCAAATTTAATCGCATTCAACAAAATATTTATAGGCGGCACTATATTCCGTAACAAACGCGTACACACAGCTTGATGAATTTCACCAGATCACAAAACACAGAACTACATCAATCATATGTACATCAAAAACATCAGAATATCCATGGCGGGCGTCAGAACAAAGATATGAGATAAAATAGCTTCAAATTACCACCTAGTTTTGAACAAAATAAAATCGGCGCTAAGGAAGCACTCAACAACTAGAGAAACAAAATTACAAAGCTTCAATACAAACTTCCTTCGACATACTGACGGACTCAAACAATTCAAGATGGATCTCAACAACAGGTTTTGAGCCTTGCAAGATTTACTCAAAAAAGAAGAAACTACGACTGAGGACAACAGGAAAGGGATCAACAAAGCACTAACTTCAATGTGTCAGGAAGTGCCGGGCCGCGAGAATTATCATCATAAGAAATGCGTCTCTATGGAAACCCTGAACATTACTCAAGAAAGAAAGAACAAGAGAGTAATGGGGGGCATTGGAGGCGACAAGTAGGATTACGCGTAAGATCCAGCAACGAAAGCAGAAGTAGCTAAAAAAAGAGAAAGTATCAGAAAACTATATGATATAACGAAGAAATAGATTAAAACAGAGAGACTAGTTAAGGAAACGAAGACGAGACAATCACTGAGATTCATCAAGACGGGAACAAAGGGGTAGAAAAAATTGAGGAACTCCTGAAACGATCATCCCAAATGAAAATCCCATACATCGTAGCAATACACACAGACAGTTCTATACATCACACACCACAATAGATAGAAGGTATCAGGATTACTAACACCGAAATAAAGAGTGAGAAAGCATCATTACATGACTTACTAGGTGCAGGAGTAGTTGCTTTTGTTCCATGAGCAACTAAGAAACAAGAAACATAATAAAACGTATTAGTAAAATGACAAAAGTAAAGCAATACGACAACACTATTTCACAAGTTAAGTATGATTATAAAGTACTTATGATTGTTACATCTGAGTCAAATCCATTTGGCAATACCTTATCTTCAACACGAATCACAAAACAGTTCTACTGTATGGAGATGAGGCTTGTAGAACAACTACAAGCATCATCAAAAAATTACAAGTATTTATAAAGAATTTTCTACTCAAGGTACTCAATATCCGTTGACCAGATTCCACCAGCAATAGCCTACTGTGAGAGGGAACAAACCAGCTTCCATCTGAAGAGGAAATTAGGAAAAGTCGTTGGAAGTGGGTAGAACATACATTACGGAAATCACCAAACTGCACAACGAGGCAAGCACTAATTTGGAATACTGAGGGGAAACGGAAAATAGGTAGGCCATAGAACACACTGCACCGAGAATTGGAAGCAGGTATGAAAAAGGATGTATAGCAACTGGAAAGGATTGTCCAGGACAGAGTTAGATGGAGAATGTTCTACAGCACAGAAGAAGATTGTCAAGATTTAACAAAACTTATAGAAATTCATAAAACTCTAGTTCCATAAACTCATGACACAGATAAAACAAAACTGCAAAACATTCCCACGATTAATTTTTAAATAGGATAGGAAGCGACTTACTAGGTGCAGCAGTAGTTGCTTTTGTTCCATGAGCAACTAAGAAACAAGAAACATAATAAAACGTATTAGTAAAATCACAAAAGTAAAGCAATACGGCAACACTATTTCACAAGTTAAGTATGATTATAAAGTACTTATGATTGTTGCATCTGGGCCAACCGACCGCCACAGAATTGGTGATCTCAACATACGTACACGAAACGATTTTCGACGACATAATATAACTTCGAATTTCCAACACGCTCCGTTTCAATTCGGGTTATCATCTGGATTATGATCATAATTTTGGTTTCTTATATCACTATTTTAATTACACGCACATTAACTCACAAGCATTATTGAATGTAACGATAAGATTCATAATAAATAACAATATTTCACAAACTATCGATATATTGGGGCAATTTAGTAAGTTTGTTCTATGTTTTAAATCGTTTCATTGGTTATCATCACTGTTTTTTATCGGTCTGTCTTTGTGTCAGTTCGTGATGATTTCTTTTTGTGACATTTACATTTTATTCGCGTACTCTTTAATTTTTATTAATATGTCTTCAAATAACGACACAATAGACCTTCCTTAAGCACCGTCCATGAGGTTCATTAAGCTTACTATTCCTCCTTTTAAGGTCACTGACTCTCATCTTTGGTTTATTAGACTTTAAAGTTACTTTGTAGCTAATCGTTTTCATTTGCAGCGAGATAAATTCGGTCATGGATGCCCATCACTTCCGGATGAACTAGCAGACAATTTGCGAGAGGTCTTAGCTAAGCCGGACGCAGGGAAACCATACAACGTACCAAAGCATGCAGTAATAAAAGCCGTTTCGTCAACCTACCGGCAGCAGCTGCCCAGTTAGGTGAAAATAAGAGATAGGACTCCATCGCAGTTAAAAAATTATATGAGCAGCACTATCGGGGACAGAAACGTAGAGAAAAACATATTTTATCACTTGTGAATACGAAGACTCTCACTGCGTGCAGCAGATCCTTGCAGTTGGGGACAGCAATTTCGACATAGACAACATCACCGAAATAGCCGATAGGATTTTTGAGAGAATGGGACACACGAGTCCACATAGGCATATCTCCACAGAAGATGAAAGAATCGATGCGTTACAAGAAAAGATTGATGTTTTATGCCACAAACTGACGAACCTAAGTCAGGACGACGGACAAAGGAGATGGTCTCGAAGTAGATCAAGAGATAGAAGCCGATCATGTTGTAGGAGACGCTCAGCTCCTACAACACGCTGGTACCATCAGACGTTCGGCCACAGAGCTAGAAAATGTAGATCACCATGTAAATTTAACCGATCACACAGGTTGTCCATAACGGCTGCGACAACTAGCACAGCTCTTAGAAACAGTCATTTATTTTATGTCCAGGATAGAGTGACATGCACTCAATTCTTAGTAGACACGGGAACAGAAATAAGCGTCGTAAAACGAAAGATGAAATATTAATACAGCACTAACTCTTAAAGCAGCAAACAAATCTGACATAAAAACATATGGGAAGCAAAAATTGAACTTGAATTTCGGTCTGAGCACTTCATTTTGCTGAGAATCCCTTATCGTAGATGTATCCGTACCTATAATTGGTATTGACTTATTAAAGAATTTCGAATTACTAGTGGATTCCCAACGAAACCGGCTTGTGAACGGAGACCATTCAGTAGTGATAAAAGGAGTGATAACTGATCACGTATCAATGAATTTAGTGATGTAAAAAGACAAAAGCGGGTCATATAGGTTGCTTCTAAATGAGTACGCTGATTTGACGAGAGCGCCATACAATAACAGAGCTCTTAAACATACTGTACAGCACCACATTGTAACGAAAGGTCCACCGACTAACGCAAAACCACGAAGGATAGGCCCAAAAAGGTTGAATATTGCGAAACGAGAATTCGAAAAATTGATGAAACTTGGTATCATAAGGCCATCGAATAGTCTCTGGGCATCCCCGTTGTATATGGTTATCAAAGGGAATGGAGAAATCAGACCATGTTGAGATTATAGAGCCCTTAACAAACAAACCAATGTCAGATAGAAATCCGGTACTGCACATCCACGACATCTCTACCTATATAAGTGCCACGGTCTTTTCAAAAATTGATCTTGTCCGGGTTTACTACCACATATACGTGGCGCCAGAAGGTATACCCAAAACTGCTGTAATCACTCCATTTATCTTATTTAGGATTTCGCGAATGCCCATCGGATTAAGTAATGCAGCTCAAACCTTCCAGCAATTCATTGATCAGGTGATTATATGTTTGACAGGAGTATACGCATATATCAATGATATACTGGTAGCTAGCACTACCATGAAAGAACATCTACAACATCTATGACAGTTGTCTGCTAAACTTCAGGAACATAGCGTCACTAATAAAGCGGAGAAGTGTGAATTCGGAAAGGAATCGTTGCAATTCCTGGGTCATATGAGAAATTCTCAAGGTACCATGCCAGCTCCAACAAAAGTTGCTGCTATTCGTAATTATCCGTTGCCCGAATCACAAGGAAAATTATGACTATTCTTGGGACTAATAAACTATTATAGACGATTAATTCCAAACTGCTCAACAATATTACAACCATTGATGGACGCTTTGCGAAGATATATCCAAACATTTCGTCGATCAACAGAGGCTATACAGGCGTTTGAGAACGCTAAGCGAGCGCTAGATCAGAAGACGATATTTGTACGACGAAAGAGCGAAGCACCACCAGTCGTCATGACGGACGCATTGAACATAGCAGTGGGAGCAGTACTGCATCCGTTAGTAAACAGTACATGGGAACCACTTGCATTTTTCTCGGAGAGATTAAATCCTACTCAGACGAGGTATAGTACGTTTGGAAGAGAACTGTTAGCGATTTACTTGGTAATAAAGCATTTGTTACATATGATAGAGGGTACCATTTTCACAGTGTAACAGATCGTAAAACAATCATAAACGAAAGCATGAAACGCCAAGCAGGATAACTATTCGCCGAGGGAAATTCGACAATTAGAAATTATTTCCTAATTTCCATCTAGCATACAGCATATTAAAGGCAATAATAACGAAGTGGCAAACGCATTATCCAGAACGATGATAAATGCTCTTATCTAGTCTGAAATCGATTATCACAAATAGGCAGTATTGCAAAATATAGATGTTGAGCTAAATAGACTAAGGTCTGCCAACACAACCTCATTGGTACCCAAAGAAACTCAATTCGAAAAAGTAAGCACCACGTGTAGTATCTCCACAGGTCGACCACAACCAGTTATTTCGAAGCCACTAAAACGAAAAGTTTGCGAAGCTATGCATAATATATAGCATCCTAGAATAAGGGCCACCATTAAACTAACCATCGAGCGTTTTGTATGGCCAAGTATGAACAGGGATATTCTCAACTGTACGCAATCTTGTATAAAATGTCAGGAAATTGAGATACATAGTTGCACCAGTTCCACCGTATGTCTTTTTCGTCACCACGATAGCGGGTTTGAGCATATACACATCGATATTGTGGGACCGCTGCAGATTTCAAATGGTTCAAGTTATATTTTCACATGCATTGATGGATTAATGTGATCGCCTGTAGCAGTGACCATCGAAGATATTTCAGCCAAACTATAGCCAAAACCCTAGTGGAGCATTGTATTTCTTAGTATGGAGTGCCTGCTAATATCACAACTGATAGAAGAGTTCATTTTGAGAGTCGCCTCTTCCAACAACTCACAAAGCTCTTCGGAATCAAACGTATTCAAACAACATTCTACCATCCAATGGCGAGTGGTATGGTAGAGAGATTACATTAGTAAATTAAAGCCTCTCCAACAGCTCTTATTAGCAAAAACGATTGAGCCAGCAAGCTCCTATTATTCATGTTGAGTTTAAGATCAGCAATTAGACAGGATATATGATGTTGCCCAGCAGAGTTGGTTTATGGGACTATCTACGTCTACCAGAAGAGTTTTCCACCTCAGGCAAAAGTGCTCCAACTGATATAATCAACGATGTACAGCATCTAAGGCAGCATATGAGTAATCTAAGAGTAACGTTCCTGAGGCTACGTCAAATCGAGTGTACATACCAAAACAACTGATCGACAGTACCCATGTGTTTATCAGAAAGGATAATGTGCGGCCTCTCTTACAACCGGCCTACGATGGTCCATTTAAAGTGATTAGAGGAATTGATAAAATTGTTACGGTAGATAAAGCTTGGAAAACGGATGTAATTAGCATCGAACGAGTCAAACCAGCTTCCATCGACGCTGACGATCAGCCAGTACATACAGATCCTTTGAAAACCGTTGAATCGCCAGAACTTGAGTTCCAATCATCAACGACATCGACGAAGAACAGCGAAGAGAATCAGGCAATAAAGAGATATGATAGAAGAGTGGGATGGCCGCAACGATACATAGCTACGATTTTGAATTAATAATTTCTTTCACCTCTTCAGATGTGAATTTTGTTTGTCAATCTTTGTTTTGTATGTGCACATAGGAACTTTTAACTTATTTATCATTATATTCGACATATTTTGTATATTCTGATATCAACGTTTATAAACTTCTAGAAGCATTACTGTATTATTTTGATCCCCTATTATCATCTTACCTGACCTCAGGGACGTACACGAACTCAAGCTTACAAGTATTTGTAATAACTTCCACGATAGTTTCATCATACATCTTAATTTCGTAAATTTCGATATTTACTGCCCTGTTTAATTTAACAGTTTTTTTCACAAACACAGACACTGTTTTCTATCTTTGTTTGCTGGTCAGTCAGTCAGCTACAACGTAGGACCAGGCACATATGTGCATCGGTTCAGGTTGCCATACCTCATTAGCACAGGAAGATGAACACCGCATTCATTGGAGTGGTTAGGTCAAAGGTGGTAATATATAGGAGAAAGATTGCAATAAGGATATAGTATAGGAAGAAAGAATTAGTTCGTAGAAAGAAAGATATAAAGTGATTTTAATCTCTTAGTTTAAGGGAAGACAGTGAGTGTATACACCGACGCCATTGTGATCGATTCTGAGCCATGTCACCAAGAGTCTCCAACCATTGGTTACGAAAGTCACACGGACCCCAACCCAGTAGTCTGCATCTACCAACATGGCTCAGACTACAAGTTAGTGACTTCAGGCACTGATGCCACGTTTTGGTTTGGCCGCCCCTAACTTTCTTCCAACCATCCCCTACACCGGTTAGCATTGCTGGAGGGAGCTGTTATAGCAGCTCACGTGCAATTGAGTCTGTTCACATTTGATTTTGTTAAGCCCTTTTGCTAAATTAATCAGCGGACAGTCATTTGCACAATAACAACTTATCTATACCATTGTACCTTTATTATTGTTCCACTTGTATGAACATGTATGCTTGAGCATTGCTTAATGCCTGCGCATTACATCCATTCCGCAAGCCTTACTATTAGTCGCTTAATAAATTTGATGATTCATTCATTTCACTATGCATATATATGTACATTCTAATCCTGTTCACCCACTTACTCGCTTGGCCGCTTTGTTTTCTGTACTACCTTTTCATGCTTTCTAAGCGTACCTGTAATTTTGGTGATCTGTTTATTGTGCAATAATAAAAGTAATTAATACTTGGCATCCACCATCCCATTACGACAACGTTTAGGCGTAATCTAGTGAATTTAATCAACACGAACAGTATACGAAGATTAAGTAATATGTACAATAGCAACCAAAATAAACTAATAAATTTTTGTATTGGATTGACTGCCTGATTTTGAATGCCAAATACAATACGTCCATTTATGTTCATCTCGTTCTACTTGCTGTAAATTGCACGATTTCAGGAAGTCCTAGTTATTACAATAATTCAAATACTTCTAATCATCACAACAAACTAACCCATTTGTTCTACAGCACAGAAGAAGATTGTCAAGATTTAACAAAACTTATAGAAATTCATAAAACTCTAGTTCCATAAACTCATGACACAGATAAAACAAAACTGCAAAACATTCCCACGATTAATTTTTAAATAGGATAGGAAGCGACTTACTAGGTGCAGCAGTAGTTGCTTTTGTTCCATGAGCAACTAAGAAACAAGAAACATAATAAAACGTATTAGTAAAATCACAAAAGTAAAGCAATACGGCAACACTATTTCACAAGTTAAGTATGATTATAAAGTACTTATGATTGTTACATCTGTGTCAAACGTAGACGTCGTGATAAATCTTGGCAGGCGTTGTGATTATTATGTTAGTTTTCATTGCTTATTCATATTCCACCTAGAATTTCAAGCGAATTTTATTGATCTAAATTGTTGATCAATTAAAATTAATTGCGCTATCTAATCCTGTATAAACTATTCAGTGGTATTTTTTAATGTACCTATTATCTCTAGAACTTAATGCAACATAAATACTTCTCAGTATTGTGGTTGTGGAGATAAATAAGTTTTTTATTGAGATCGTCCATAACCCTTATGCTGATAATTACCATGTGCTCACTAGTGACTAGCTTCGTGAGAAAATCCTTGGAGTTCCAGTGAGAAGCCGTGACCAGTGGAGCTAATCCGTGTCCGGTAGTGACAGGTATCCACCTCAGTACAATGGGAGATGGTCGCGCACTTTCGTGGATTGGTTGATGTTAGACAGTAACACCATCGGATGCCGGCTCAGTGGTTCAGTAGGTTAAGCGTTCGCGCGCGAGACTGAAGGCCTTGGTTTCGGACCCCGAGAGCGGGATCGTGGATGCGTACTGCTGAGGATTCCCACAATAGGACGAAACGGCCGTTCAGTGCTTCCAGGTTTCCAACGGTGATCATTCAGTCAGTTAATGATCTCAATCAATAAATATTTCTTTTGTCCTTTTACTTAATTACGAGTTTTCTTTTCTTTAGTAGTTATTCACAAAACCAAGCAGTATAGAACTGATTATGATTCGAGATCTATATCAGCATTGCTCATATATGCGATTTTGAACCCAATTCATCAAATTTTCGTAAACATTTCTCTTCAATGCCTATTCCATCAATTGTCACATTTTGTAAAAGTTGATAATTTGCTATTCGCATTACTCATTATATGTTCAAAGAATACAATACTAGCATTATATATTATTTATTCAAGTTTAACTATACTCATTTCCATCGAAAATTCAATGTTACTGGAACATGTTTCAGTTATGTCAAGCTTTTAACATAAATTTGAAATGAGGTTTTCTGAAGAAACATTGGACAAAAGACTATCCCAATAAAAATTTACGCATTCAATAATGTGCAAAATCTTCTTCAGAATATGAACTTAGAGAAAATCCGGAAGTGTAATAGCATTAGTTACCAATTTTTCAATGATAAATCTTTAATTGTGAAATAATGCACTCACTTGTATGATTTTGTGAAATTTTCTGGTGTGTTGTTGTTGGGGCGTGGGGAGCTGAAAGAAAATATATAAGTTTTATGTTTAATATATAGAAATTGCATGCTGATTTCGTAAAATTATGTCTTATTTTATAAACAAAGATGGATAGTGGCTAGTAGTAGAATCCAGGACGCGCGTTTCGTCCTATTTCGGAATCGTCACCTGGATGTACCTGCATCTCAGAGTTTATGTTCACTCTATCCATCTTTGCTGATAATGCTTGTGAATTAAGGCAATATCGAGACAATTCACACAGTATGCACATATGCCATTAAGAGACGGATCAGTTGCAGCCCTAAACATCAGTGGGAAGATTCGAGTAAACAATACCAAGTGAACTTAATGTTTAATCTTGTATGCAATATTTGCTTTGGTTTCATTAATATATAATTGTAGGAAAATTATATTTTGATTATGTTAATCAATGAAAATAAGTAATTCACTGTAACGTTACTTGGAATCATTTTACTAGCATTGGTACATAATTTCCCTCCATAGCATATGAAGAAGTAATGTAAATATTTAAACCAATATGCACTCACCTACTGTAGAGTTGTGAACTTGTGTCTGAGGTAAATCTAGGGACGTATGCAAAGCGTTAATAAGTAAGCTAAGATTATTGTATGAAAAACGATTGGTTAAGGTTTGTGAAAATAGTCTGAAAAGGGTTGTTCATGTGTATAAAGAGATGAACTCAGAGAAGTGATGGGATCCCGGCACTTTTGGTAAAAAAAAGCATTCTTGATGTTGATAAGAAATGATGCTGCAAAGGCTGACGTTTTATTGGGATAGTTTGGTAAAGTGGCTTTTACCAACGATGAAGAAAGACCAACCGTTAATTATAATAATGATGACTTGTCAATGGATCATCTGATTAATAAGAAAGGAGTTGTTTAAGGACTAATTCAACACTCCAGACGAGATAAGTCTAATGGTCTCGAAGGTATTCATCCCAAGATTATGACAACCCTGAGTGATGTAATTACCAAACCTCTGACAAAACTGTCTGATATGTCTCTTTTGCAGTCTAAATTATCAAGAATAAAGACCTAGTTAGCAACAATCAGCCCGTTAGTTCAACCGTTGTAGTCGCCAATCTAAGGAACAATATTATTCAGGAGGGTTATCTAAACCATGTGAAATGGAATAATCTTTTAGTTAGGAGATAACATGGTTTTAAGAAAGGCTTTTCATGCTCGACATATCTTTTCATTGCAAGCTTATATTGAACTGCAGAGAAAGATAGTAATACTCTGTGAGAAGCAATTTTCATAGGTAACGTTAATTGTTGTTTTCATCAACTGCAGACCACAGCCACTAAAATATATAGAGACTTAGATAGGGTAAACCAACTTATTGAAATGAATCAAACACTGCATGATAAATTGAGTACTCCACTTGCACATATTTCTTGATTTGTCTTGTTCTTTTATTCCTGTTCCTACTCCTACTGTTTTCTTCTTTATTTCTCTTCTCCTCATATTCTTCTTTTATCAGTAAGAAGCCCACTCCCAATTCCTGATACATAATACTTATATTTGTTCGTATAAGTAGCATATATTACACTACCACTATGGTGTAGTGATTAAGCTCGTCTCATAAAGTGAACGCCGTAGACATAGACTACCTGTTCAGTTCTCTGTTTCTAAAAGTCTTTGTGTCTTGAACCCTGAATAAGAAACCGAATATGAGGAGTGTAAATGGAGGTATACTTTTAGGGTTTGTTCATATAAAAAAGAAGTTTTATTTATGAGATTTAGGGTAAGTCTTAGATGTTAGGAGTCTCTTAAAATGATTTAAAAACTGGCCTATTGAGTTGCCTAGTGAGCTCCGTAAACTCTTTCAATCAAAACTAGTGCCAATAAATTGAAGATAAAACAGTACATCCCTTGTTTCATTGAAATGTACCCTTAACCACATACCACGGCTATTAACATTCGAACCCTTTATCAAATCAAGTAATGAGCTTCTATTGAAAAATTTCTATTTCTGAAATTGACATATATTCTCAATATTATAATACTTTACATCAATCTACACTTACTCGTAGTGGTGATAGAAACATTTTTGCTTGATTTTTGAAGTTCACATTTATCTAAAGAATTAAGAAATGTGTGCTACGTTTTATACATGAACAAGGTAGCGCAATAACATCAAATAATGTTTAACTTTGATCTCAATAGAAACATCACTTTCAAAATAATAGTTTTTAGAACTCTACTAATTAGCTACAGAATGTTGTGCAAATAAATGAAATATTTTAGACAACTTCACAACTATGTTATTCTGACATACACACAAACAAAATATTATGCGTAATTATACACTCACCTGTACCGTTGCATGAAGTTCGATTATTTGATTTCTGTGGTATGTGGAAATCTAACCGAAAAAAAATGCGAACTGTTTACATGTTCTGAAGGAAGTGTCATAAAACTAATAAGATTCAAACAATGTCTTTTCATTACTCTGAGATGTATAGAAAAGTTCGACTTGAAAGTGATGAATATTAATCTAAACTTACAATAGAGTTAGATCAAGAAAATTAATTGAGAAGTTTGTTACAGAAACATATAAATGGTCTATATCAACTAGTATCTGATAGAGTTACAATATATGGATCATGGTCTACTCCATAGGCTATTTGTTACTTCAACACAGACTTAGTAGGTATGGTATCTTAAGATTTACACACAGACAAAATAAAGAAGTATAAGTTACGGTAGCGATCCATTAAATTATTGTAATTTCAGAGTAAATACTTAAGACTCAGTAGGTACTAAACTTTTTGGATAACAGTCTAGATTTGAGTTAGAATTTGTGAATTGGTGAGCGAATGTGGCTAACACCAAACAGTTATCCCTAACACCTTCAGAAATTAATCCCAAATAAATTAAATATTTTCAGTGAATAGGTAATAATTTCTTATACAAAGTGACCCCAAATTCCCTGGTACAGCCGAGAGTGGGGAGAGTCAGCTCACCCTTTCGAAATACTCTCACATGGCCACGCACATAAACCCACTGCCAGGGAAGTCCTACTCACTGCTCTCTCGTGGAGGTGGTGTTGTTCATGAAATTGAGAGGACGAAAAGCGAATGTCCGGCGCTTTAACCGGGTTGATAGATACAGAAAGTCCACCTAGAGGAGTTTGAAAACCCTGATTTCAAACGAATGGTGCACATGGGCTCCACTATCCTGAGGGAACAAATGGCGTATGAAATAATCGTTGGTCACCGGCTACCATGGGATTGTATCTCCTGACGTTGCTCCACTACCTTGTGGGTCAGACTTTCAGGTCGAAGGCTCTGGGTGTGGCCCCCTAAGAAAACCACCTGCTTGAAATCTGGCACCCAGCCAGTATCTTATCCCTCACACAAATCGAATGATTTATGTAGTGCATATCTATTTGGTGCCTCCATGTACCAATGTTTATGCGTTTAAATAAATAAATAATAAACCTATAAAAATAACATAATTGTATCTTGATTAACGTTGTTTTAATTGTCATATAGACAATTTGTGAATTTACAATTTATATAACACACCATTATGGTCAAATATAATATTTACACCATTTGTCTAAATATTATATCTCGGAGATTAAATATACTGGTTAATCTTGATAAACCAATTTGTTTCTATTAAGCTTTTAGAACAAATCTGAAGACAAAATCTCTGAGAGAACACTGTACGAAAAGACAATCTCACAGTACATATAAACAAAAGCATCAACAATCCCAAATAAACCGAAAAGAAACCTTAATTAAAATAAAAATTTAGCAATCTCTAGGAAGTATCTCGGAATTGATCATCAATAAATTACGAATTCTTGTCATGTACCCATCCATTTTCAATGATAATCTTGTAAAACGTATTATACTTACTAGGATCTGTCAAAATGTTCAAGGTAAGCATCTTTGAAGCAAATGAATCTGGAAAAAAAACACAAGACTCATGTTATTCTGTTTTATAAAACTCAACATCCAAATATGTTTAGTTTAACACAGTATAGTTTTGATTGTTAAAAGCTATATATTTCTTTGATGATTTTGATTTTGATTATTGCTCTGAAGAAGTCCAGACAAGTTAGCTGGACAAAACGTTGGAATGATTTAACTTTCAATCGCTGAGATTATTTCAAATATAATTTTCACATATAATGACTTCTCTATACTCGGCGCCCAATTTCTGTCAAATTATTCGTTCTAATATTGACAAATATTTGGATTGGTTGAAGTTAGACATTAACACCGTTGGATGCCAGCTCAGTGGTCTAGTGGTTAAGTGCGAAGCCAGCAGGTCCTGGGTTCGAGCCCCGCGTGGTGCGGGATCGTGGATGCGCACTGCTGAGGAGTCCCATACTAGGACGAAACAGCCGTCCAGTGCTTCCAGGTTTTCAATGGTGGTCTAGCTTCAACTGACTCATGATTTCAATCTGTGAAATATTTGTATAAACACACGTTATATGTTGAATACAAGGAAAATGCAGAATGGTTTTTGTTGAATAATGTTTAATTGTGGTTGTAATAGTTGCCTTAACTTCCTCAAAATTCATTACCATTATAACTTGCAATACTTTCTAATAAAATTATACTGATGAGATTAGTAAAAATAAAATCTATACTATACATGTCAAACTATTGAACAATTTACCCACCTGATAATTTGTCTGACTTCACGATTCTTGCTGATACATGTTCAACTAACAAAATAATAATTCCATTTGAAAGTCATACAAAAGTATAACAATAAATAAAACTACAATTTGACTATATCTGTTATATCCGGTGAAGATTAAATTACAGGTAACTTCCGAGGACTATTCATGGACTAATATTCTATAAATATTCTTATTGTATAACTACTCAACAATTACACTATGTATATTTATATCCCTTTTATGATAAGCTTTATTTTGGCCTATAATTTATTATTGTACGATTTACGGTTCTTAAGTTATGTTCAGTTTATTAACTACTGCCTCCCACATTCACAGCCACTTTTTGGGCTTATTTGTGTACAAATATTATTTCCTATTTTATGGTATGTTGCGGTCTGTCTGATTGATATATAAACCAAGTATGCCTGAAATAAACGATCTGCTCTGATTCGGAAGTTGGTATTGTGTTCTGGACTCAAGTGGAAGGGCTCGGAGGACATAGGACCAATAAGGACGCTAAACTGCCCACACCGGTTGAACGTCATTGGTTGGCCTAGTGTGAAGATTCGTATAAGTCGTATTCCGATTGTTAGATAAATCGTGTAATAGAAAAACCAGACATCCAAGGTCATAACAATATCATCTTCACTGTTAACATTATAATATTGTGTAATAGACAATATAGTTACTTAAGGGGTTTACTTTGTAAATAAGCATTTGCATTATTTAAAAATGAAGCTTTCAAAAATGAGAATGAAAGATTCGTGTTAAATTTAAATTAAAAGGTTTACTAAACATTAGGTCATTTTATATCTACTCACACTTAAGCTAAACTTAATTATCCTACCTTTTTTATATCATTCAACTAGATGTCATTAATATAGTCTAAATGTTGATTTCATCCACAACGTTATCAATCGTCACTGTGTTTATTATACCTAGCACTTCTGGTCATTTTTCATATCTGTTTAGAGAGTGAACGCTACAGATCAGAATGTAACTTTCATTAAAGATTTCATTTTAAACTCCAATTTTTGTTAGGTTTTTGTTTGTTTTTTATTCAGGATGTTGGATAACAGTATAATGGGTATATCCATAACGGACAGTTAAAAAAGAATTCTAGCCTTAATTTACACAATGAATAAATAGATATTACATTTGGTTTCATATTTCACTGTTTTCACTTTCTACAATGTTTATGTTGATTAAATTTATGTTGTATTATTGAATTAGACAATTATTTTAGGGATTTCTTTTCAATTGTTGAGATCATGAGTCGATTGAATCTAGATCACCATGGAAAACCTGGAAACACATGAACGACCGTTTCGTCCTATTGTGGGACTCCTCAGCAGTGCGCATCTACAACACCGCCTCGCGGGATTTGAACCCATGTTCTATCAGTCTCGCGCACGAGCGCTTAACCACTAGACAACTGTTCATTAATTTGTACTACTTATTTAGCTATTTACTACTTATTTCTTTTTCTTAAAGATTATTTATAACTGAAAAACCAATGGTTAATAAATGAAGCAAAAAATCATACTTTTTCTAAAAATTAAACTATCGAGTGAAATTGTATAGAAACTTTTGAATATATGTTTTGTTCGTTTTCTTTTTGACATTTGTTTTTACTATCAGAAGGGGTTTTGTGGATATTAAAATAATTTTGATAGTTGAGATTATGAGTCATTTAAAGCTAAAGCACCATGGAAAACCTGGAAGCACTGTTGAGAAGTCCCATAGTCGAACGAAACGACCGTCCAATGCTTCCGAGTTTTCCATGATGGTCTAGCTTCAATTGACTCATAACCTCAACTATTTATTTTTACATTTAAGAAAACTGTAATAAGCACTTAAATCCTTATTCGTTAATAAATAAAAAGAAAAGTAGTAGGAGGAGAATAATATTTTCCAATAGAAAGTAAACTGAAAAGATAAAGGGATAATAGATGCTCTAAGTACTTTCAGTAAATACTTAAAACTTCCAGTTTCCACGATCGAAATATGAAGAGACGAAATAAATTTGATTGAGCTTTCTTTTTGTTTTAGGTTAATTCTATAAATGAAATCATCTTCACAAATGACCAAATTGAATAAACAAACGATTATTTATAATACAAATTAATTGTAACCGTTAAATGTTTTTTTTTCTTTTCAAAAAGTAGGTTGAGACTATAATTTATGGATGACCTTTGAGCGACGCTAAAGTGATCTTGACAGTGTCTACCTACTTACTAGAACTAAATGAGAGTTGTAAAGCAGTTTAAAGAATAAATATTATGATTTACAATTGATGGTTAAGGTTAGGAATTAGATTTAGGGTTTTTATTACAAACTGACATTAGCTATAATGCCAAGACGCTATTTAGCCAAATGGATGAATGAATTACGTACCAAAATTCAAGACCTATTATCCTAAATCTAATTAGTTCATCCAATAAATTATAGCCTCATCAAAAAAGTTAGAATGTAGGAAAACAAAACAATAACTATAACCATGTCATTAATTATAAAGTTAACTTACACTTTCCATTAGTAATGAAATATAAAGCATAAATTAGGATAATCGCATACATGTTGTATTTTGTTTTTCTATTATAAAAGTTTCAAACTGTTTCATCTCTTTATATAAATAAATTTTTATAGATTGTTATTTTGAAATAGTTTTCTCTTTTTCTTTCTCTATTTTCTATATTTACACAAATCTCGTATTTGTTTTACAAAAAAGAAAGGAAAGAAAACAAGACGAGGTTTATTTACCTATCAAGTTAGAAATAAACTTAATACAAATGAACATAATCAAATTACAATCGGTGTATCAAATTATAACGTTAATATTCATTGATAATCTAATAATAGTAAGATAAACAAATTTATTAATTTTCACAGATTTAAATCATGAGTCAGTTGAAGCTAGACCACCATTGAAAACCTGGAAGCACTGGACGGCCGTTTCGTCCTAGTATGGGACTCCTCAGCGGGATCGTGGATGCGCACTGCTGAGGAGTCCCATACCAAGACGAAACGGCCGTCCAGTGCTTCCAGGTTTTCAATGGTGGTCTAGCTTCAACTGACTCATGATTTAAATCTGTGAAAATTTCTAAAATCTCCACAAACCCCTTCTGATAATAATCATCTGCTCACTAGTGACTGACTTCAAGAGATACTCCTGGAGTTCTGGTGGGAAGCCGTTACCAGTGGAGTTCAACCAGGTCTGTTGTGAGATATCAGCTCACTGGAGACAATGGTATATGGTGGCGCAACTTCGTGGATTGGTTGAAGTTAGACATTAACACCGTTGGATGCTGGCTCAGTGGTCTAATGGTTAAGTGCTCGCGCGCGAAGCCAGCAGGTCCTAGGTTCGAGCCCCGCATGGTGCAGGATCGTGGGTGCGCACTGCTGAGGAGTCCCATACTAGGACGAAACAGCCGTCCAGTGCTTCCAGGTTTTCAGTGGTGGTCTAGCTTCAACTGACTCATGATTTAAATCTGTGAAAACTTCTAAAATCTCCACAAACCCCTTCTGATAAATTTATTAATTATAAAATGAATAAATCATTATCATTATCATTATACAGGTAAATAAAGAACACATTAGTTAATTATACTCGATTTTAATTCTAAGCGATATTTTCTATACTTACAGTTGCTTATCTTATTCTATTAATTTTATTAAACGTGATAAATATAATTTCTTTTAATAGTTGAAATCATGAGTCAATTAAAGCTAGACCATCATGGAAAACCTGGAAACTCTGGACGGCCACTTCGTTCTATCGTGGGACTCCCCAACACTGCGCATCCACGATCCCGGGCGCTTAATTATTGGACCACTGAGCTGGTATCCAACGGTGTTAATGTCTAACTTCAACCAATCCACGAAATCGTGCCACCGTACATCATTGTCTTCAGTGAGCTGATATCTCACAACAGACCTAGTTGAACTCCACTGGTTACGGCTTCTCACTAGAACTCCAGGAAATGCTTCTTGAAGTCAGTCACTAATGAGTAGATGATTAATATCAGGAGTTTTGTGGAGCGCTCGTGCGCGAGACTGATAGGTCCCGGGTTCGAATCTCGCGGGGGCTGGGATCGTGGATGAGCACTGTTGAGGAATCCTATAAAAGGACGAAACGGCCGTCCAGTGTTTCCAGGTTTTCCATAGTGGTCTAGCTTCAAATGGCTCATGATTTCAACTATTGAAATTACTAAAATCTCTACAAAATTCCTTTTGATATTTTCTTTGGTGAGACTATAATTTATGGGTAACCTTTGAGTGACGTTAAAATGACCTTGAGGATGTCACCCGACTTACTAAGGCTAAATGAACTTTATAAACATATGTGAAGAGTAAGGATTTTGATATACAATTGATGGTTATGGTTAGGAATTAGATTTAGGGTTATAATCACAAACTGACATCAGCTAAAATGTCAAAACGCTATTTTATCAAATGTATGGATGAATTTCACACCAAAATTCAAGATCTGTTATCCCAAATGTGATTAGTTTGTCCATAAATTATAATCTCATCATTTCCTCTACTTAGTTACTCAGTAGTAAATAATATTATTTTAATTTAGCCATTAGTGATAATTATCAGTTGGAATGGATACAGCATAGAAGTTCATTTGTTTGATGTTATGATTTTGGAATCAGCTGACACGAAGCTTAGTTTACGCTCATCAACAAGATTAATCTACATGGAATTAAATCTGGCATCGTCCAGTAAAAAACGTTACCAGTGGTCCCAGTCATAAAAAAAGTAGAAACTATGGGTTAAATTCTTGTTTTATGACTAGATTACTTATTAGTAATCAGGCTTCATCCATATTTTTTGTATCTCACTGGTTAAATTCATTATCGATAAACTGGCTATGCTCTTATTGGTTGAAACATATTTTTACTTAGCTGTTTTGAACCCATCAATTTTATGTTTGACTAGTTTACGGTTGACTGTCTTTTGTTGTCTTACAACCTTGAATGTAAGCTCAGATTTAAAAAATTATGATTAATTGTAGAATCACATGCATATATATATATATATATATATATATATATATATATATATATATAATCCTGATGGAAAACCTGTCTTTCTAGAATGAATGTGTCATTGCCATATGAAAATCTCCAGTTACTAATCAGTCATGTAGGGTGCTACAACGTTGAATGTCGAAAGAGAGTGAAATACCACCAAACAGTTAGTCAGAGTTAAAGAAAGTTAAAGATTTTATGGTTAGGCTTATAAAAATACGCCAAGTGCAACTTTGGATACCGACTTCATATTCAGTTACTCGACCGATCAATTTCTGGGATCAACATACCTACATGTTGCGTTCTTTATCGTTATAATCGATATCCGAGGCTATATGAATTAAGTAAGAACTATAATACAAATGTTCTTGAATACATATTAATGTAATTGAATTTACTAGTATATATAGTAGAAGCGAAGTACAATTGGACTGAACGGACACAACTAGACTGGAATAATACTAGTATTGAATTAACACCAGAATTAAACTACTTCGTAACTGAATGAGATTTATATTGATACTGACACTTAGAATTGCCAATAACTATATTTAATTAGAAATAACACTGGCAATTCAATATCCAGAAATCGTTCTGTAGCGAAATAAATCTAAGGTTGAGTCAGACCAGTTGAATTTGTAATGCATTAATATGAATACAAAATGTCCAATGTCGATTAGTCAGTGTGTTTGAAGTATTTATGCATCAATGTAGTAATGGATCACGATTAGCAAATAGATGGATAGGACAACCAACCAGTAAAAGGAATACTGGAAAGACTTACATGTTAGTCATTTAAATTTATCACACAACTGGGCACAAACTAACCAACACAATTGAACTAATGCATTTGGCAGTCACATGCTCGGTTCGACATTGTATTTCAAGACGGGTATACAATTATTTCCATGTCTGTATTAAATACCATACGAATCTTGAAAGAAAACGGATACAGATATCTCTATTCCCATTCCACGATTTTGAAGCTCCGTGTCTTAATTATGAAGCAGTAAATGAACTTGAATTTTGATGGTTTGAGATTTCTGGTAAATTGCTTGTTTATCTTAATCAAATATATACTCATAGTTGTGTAGGACTAGTGAAATGTCAGTGGGTCCTTGCCAACTATCCGGCAATCATGTCACTGAATGTTGAACAGTTCACTAATCCTTCTCAACTTCAGGAACAGGCAACGCGCATTAGTTAATTGCACACCATGAACTGGCCCATGCGGTGTTGGTTGCAACTTCTTCTTTGTACCTACTTTTACTATTACATTACTGTAATAATGTCCTTTGTGTTGTACGGTCATCAAAGCAGCCATAGTACCTTGATACGACGAAAGTTAGTCCACGTTAGGTGCTGGCCACGAGGTGTGACTTTGAAGTTAGCTATTGGTCACACCATTCCCTTCCAACTCGAGTGGGGCCCCAATCACTCGACATACATCACCTATGTTGATGATCTGAAGTTGTATAAACCCTCCTTTAGTCGACACTGTATCCCATTTCCGTCAAAATACAACAAATAATTCAACAACGAATAAAAAGCAGTGAATGAAATTAAAAACGTGTTTGATAAATATCTGATTCTTGGCACCTTTTATTCACGAATTAATTTCGTCTTCATAACTCTGGATTTAGGAATATTGGTCGCACTAAATCCGTACATAGTACTACTCATTTTACTGTCTGTGATAATAAACCCTGAATTTCAGTGATAAGGCTGATTATAATGATCTGATGCTTTCTCTGTTTACAACTTCCAGTAATCTAATTTGCATTCGGAAACGATTATATGTAACTGGTGGTATGTCTCATAATTTCATATTGACATAAAAGGCATCAAACCTACAATTTTAAAAAGGAATATAAAATCATTGACCTCCAATGTCCTGACTAAACCCCCTAACCATTCTATTTTTAGTATTATTGGCCATAAACTACTCGTTTTCAATGTTACAATCTACTGAATAATGATGAAAATCCTTCATTAACGAACTGAGAATTTCAAGCCACTGAAAATGAAATATCAGTACTTCAACTGATGAATTTAAAAGTGATTCAAGTACCAACTTTTTCACTTACTGCTGGAAATAATACTGATAAATTGTTCATAGATCTCACTGCTAAGAATTCAAAGTGCAGAAATTTGTACTTAATACTGAAATTGTCTTGTCCTAATCCTTAAGCAAAAATAGCCAAATCATTTAAAGACTGCAAACACTCCTGTTCTTCCGCAACGTTACAGGAACTATGTGGGGGTGGATGAATTCATTCGACACAAATAAGTCTAATTATCCAATATTGCAAGACCCCTTTTGTGTTTCTTGTATAAATAATGATAATAGTTGTATTTCTATTCTGAAAAAGCTTTTATGGATTCGAAGTCCTTCGCAGCCATGGTTGAGTCGATATGATACGGCTTAAAATGCTTATCTAGTTCCTTTGATGATTTTGACTGATAGCATATTTTTCACATGAAGGTATTGAAGCCAGTGGAATATTTGCGACTGATAGAACTTCAACAAAGAAACTGAT